CTGAGAGACAAGTTCCTCCCCTACACAGCAGAGTTTGCTTTGGGTAATCTCATTCTAAATGTTTTGCCTACAATTCCATTGTCTCCTTCTTCCCACTGGCCTCTGAGAATACCGAGGGCAGGAGACATTTCCACAGCCACCACCTTCCCTACTATGAAGGAGCTGAGGGCCACAGTCACAAGCTGGTTTATGAAATGAAGGCAAATGTGGTGGTCTGAAAGGAAGTTCCACCCAGACCTTAGTGAGGATAGGAAACATTTCTACTTCACCAGCCAGGACACCCATCTTGCAACCAGACAGCCTGAGTTTCTTGGTCTCTGATTTTTGGTACTAGAAGCACAGTACCAACTTTTGTGGGCTTCTTGAGCCATTTAAATTCCTTCTCCAGCACATTCATTTTCCTATCACTGACCTCATGGGACTATTCACCGTATGTTTAAATTTGAAAATGCACTCAATATGAAGTGATGTCATGTTTTTTGGGTAGTCACCTTTTTGATCTTCTCAAGTTGGCAGAAAGCAAAAGACAGAAAGTGTCTTTTATAGTCCCTGAGCCACAAAATATCTCTCTGGTCAAATCTGGTGAGAGGAGCCATTGTCAGGGAAGTCTGCATTCACCATGCTCCCAGGGGAAGGTCTGGGACCTGAACCCAGCCCTGTGGCCTCAGTGCTCAGAGCACACTCAAGGTCTCAGTGGGCCACTCTGGCTCTGTCACACACTGGAACCCAACCAGTGTTGTGCAGTGATGGTGAAAGAATGAGGGTAGAGCCTCCGTGGGAGGTTGGGTGGAGGCCAGCTGGGTGCCTCTTGGGCTCATGCACCCAGGTAAGCAGCTCACCTGGGCTGACCGTAATGCTAGCTGGAAGAGAAGGAGAGTTTTCAAGGCTTCAGTGACAAAGGAATGGGGAGTTAACTCTTTGGAGTCCTCTTCAAACTTGAGGAGGATACTTATAATTAAACAAGCTGAGGCATTGGATTGGAATAAAAATCTACTGAGAATCAGACTCTATTCTGGAAATTACTCCTAGTTTCAGGAGGTTGGTTTGCTAGGGTTGCCATAACAAAATACCATGGGCTGGGAAGCTTAAACAACAGAAATTTATTTTCTCACTCTTCTGGAAGCTGGACATCTTAGATAAATCTGCCTGTAGGTTTTGCTTCTGCTGAAGCCACCCTCCTGTGCTTGCAGATGGCCCCTTTCTCTTGTGTCCTCACATGGACTTTCTCTGTGTGTACACCCCTGGTGTCTCTTCCGTTTCTTCTAAGGAGATCAGTTCCATGAGTCTAGGCTCCACCCATCTGAGCTCAGTTAACTTTCAATGCCTCCTTAAAGAACCTCTTACAATACAGTCACAATGGGGTTTACAGCTTCAACACAGGAACTTGTGGGTATAGACTTCAGTCCAGAATGAACCCTAAGTCTAAAAAAAATGTTTAGTAACAGTAGTCTCTGTGTAGTGTTAGAGTTGCCCAGAGAATGTTGTGTGCATGTCTGAGAACCCCAGTACCCCTGGTGAAGTCCATCAGAGGAAGACCAGGAGGATGAGCCAGGAGATCCTGAGGAGCTTAAAGGACATGACTCAGGAAGTTGCTTCAGATGCAGATGTGGTTTGACACCATTAACCTTCTCAAGAGAGAAATGGGTGGTCACAGGCACCAAGTTACAAGAATGGTCTACATTTGACATAGAAGGGTATGAGGTCCTTCTCAACTGGCCAATAGTGATAGAAATACAGAAAATATCTGAGATATGGGAGATTTCAGGCTTTTTTAGGAGACAATGATTTGTCTTCCTTTTGTGCAATGTATAAGAATCTGTATGTTATGACCCAGCAATTCCACACCTAGTTCTAGAGAAAGTTTGCCACAGGTATACCAGTGACATGTGTTAAGTTTTTAGTAGAACTGTGTTGAAGAGAAAGAAACAACTGTAAAGAGCCCCAAACTTCCATTGACAGGGAATAGATTATAGGTGGTATCTTGGCAAAATGGAAAACACATGCAAGAGAAACAATGTAAATGAAAAGCAGCTTACAGAGGATGGTACACAAAATAATTTTATTTTTCTAAAGCACCCAAACAAGCAAAACTAAAAGATATAATGTCCAAGGAAACACACATCTATGGCAATAACTAAAGAAATTTAAAAGAAAAAAACATTAAACTCCAAATTCAAAAGATCTGCACAGATGCAAAGAGGCAGGATTTGGGGTGAAGCTTGTGGGAATAGCCAATGATTTAAGTAATATTCCAGTTCCTAATTTGGGAGTTGAGTTCACAGGTATTTACATTTATATCTTACTTTATTCATTGTATGTATGTGTGTAATATCATATATATCCTACTGTAGCTATATCATATATATCATATATATAATATATATATCCTACATTATTACACTCAGAACACATAACAAAGGACAATGCCAAAGGTGAAGAATGATGTCAGCAGCCATTATCTTTTCCTTTTTCTTTTTTTTTTAAGATTTTATTTATTTATTTGAGAGAGAGAGAATGAGAGATAGCACAAGAGGGAAGAGGGTCACAGAGAGAGAAGTAGACTCCCTGCTGAGCAGGGAGCCCGATGTGGGACTCGATCCCGGGACTCCAGGATCATGACCTGAGCCGAAGGCAGTCGCTTAACCAACTGAGCCACCCAGGTGCCTGCCATTATCTTTTTCAATAGACTCTATTTTAGAGCAGCTTCAGTGTTACAGGAAATTGAGCAGAAGGTACAAAGGGTTCCCATGTACCACCTGCCCTCACATAAGTACAGCCTCCCCACTGTCACCATCCTGCAATTCATGAACTCAAACTGATCTTTCTCCCTCCTTGTTCATAGTTTACATTGGGCTCCCTCTTGGTGTTGAATATTATATGGGTTTTGACAAAAGTATAATTTGTCCACCACTGATCCACCATTATCATATCACACAGAGTGGTTTGACTGCTCTAAACAACCTCTATGCTCCACTGACTTATCCCTCCCTCCCTGAACCCTTGGGAACCACTGATCTTTTTCCCATCTCTACAGTTTTGCCTTTTTTGGAATGTTACACAGTTGGAATCGTGCAGTATATAGCCTTTCCAAATTGGTTTCTCTCACTTGGTAATATACATTTCAGTTTCCTCCATGTCTTTTCATGTCAGCTGTCATTTAAGGACTCTTCTGAATGCTGAGTGGTGAGTGGAAGTGCTCCAGGTCACTAGTCCCTGGTGACACTTCTGAACCCCAGGGATGAAGAGTTCCTACAATTTTCCATGGAGACAATCAGGTGACCATCCAAAGAATGGAATGGAATTGGCACTGGGCTTTTTACTGGCAACATAGCATGCTAGAAGGAGATAGATCTTCAGAGTTCTAAGAGAAAATGATGTTGTATCCAGAATCTTATACTCTAACTATTTATTAAAAGTGAAAAAAACCACAAAATGAAGGCATTAATTGGAAATGCAAAGACTCAGAAAGTTTACCTCCCAGGGAACTTTTTTTCCCCCTCACTTTGATAATGGACCTAATGTAAGTGAACAGGGAATCCAAGAAACACCAGCACCACAAGGTAATGGATGGATATGAGTGAGGCCTGTGCTCCAGGCTGGGAGAGCAACTAGTCCAAGTGAGAATAGGAATTAGAGGAGTTGCATAGGACACTTCAGGGAGAAAGGATTTTCTGGAGTATTGTCGCCGTTACTGAGCAGAGTCATCTGAGGGATAAGGGAATAGCATAGTATATTATTATGATAAAATCACACTGTGCCACTTCCTCATCCCCTTCTTACTTTTCTCCCAGATTTGTTTAATTATCTTATGCCTTCAGTTACAAAGATTTGGTGGCCAAAATTTTACACATCGGTTCCATTCAGATATGTCCAACAAATTCAGATTGGATTCCAAACTGGGTGTGATCTTCCTTGGTAAATAGAGTAAGGTCATGTGATTGATGGAGAATGTTGCAGGGAAGGATGGTTGCTCTTGTGAGGAATGAATGACTCCCACAGTGGTGAGAGCCAGGTTATGTTACTCTTGGTGTGGAGAGTGAGCTTTCAAACACCATTGGAAAAAAATCTGTCATAAAAAACAATTTTTATTATGTATATACCCAGTAAGGGGAAAAATCTAGAACTAGGGTCTGAAATGGTTTCCAATTAGGAGAATTTCCATGGAGTCTATATAGGTTGGGTTAACAGTGAAGTCATAGGCAGTGGGTTAGTTTCCTCAATGTTGATGATCAAATTAAGTTTCCTTCAACCAACGCAGGAGATAACTTTGGCAAAGAACACAACATAGAAGGTAACTTTAAGTGAACAAACATTTCTTTATAGGAAACATAATCTAACAGGTTCTACTTCCTATGAGAAGCCCACCACGAGCATGTGCATGTGAAGAGCATGAGCTCTTGGAGGGGGCAGAGGGTCAGTGTTACTACTTACAATAGTCAGATTTGCTTATACATTCAACAGTTTTCTATTCCCAGTAACAATGGCACTTGTGTCCATATCCTGTATCCTTTTTTCTATATAAATGTTTTTGTGCAATTGCTGAGGGGAGGTATAAGGGCAGAGCTTTGCAGGATACCATATCTTGGATCTTGGATACTGGCCTTGGATACTTTTCAAATGATAGCTAAATACACATTCTCTATCTTATTTCCCCAAAGGGAACATCCCAAAGGATGTTCTCCCCTCTGTATCCAGACATGCCTCTATGAGTCCAGAGGTGAGAAGTGAAGGAACATAAGAAACCAAGAGGGCTTGGAGAAAGGATGTTAATGTTAAGTGATAAGGGGACATCAGAATGAGACTGTATGTCACAGAGCAAATCTTTTCATCTACACTTGGATCTAGGCTCATTTAGTAAATTATAAGAATTAGAACATATTTTAGAGTTTCCTAACATGGGTTCAAAATGAGCAAATCAGCTCATTTGCCTTGAGGAACTTAGAACTGATGAAAGTGGAAATATTAAGCTTCATTGAGAATTCAGAAAGGGGACAGTGTGAAGATAGGACCCCAGATGTCCTGACTTCCCTCCAGAATAAGCCTGATGGCATCAACTCTTTAGATGATGGACTCTGTCAGGATTTTATTCACAATGGTCCTGGTGTCATTGGCAACTATTTCAAGGAAGTGTGTTTGTTTCCACACTCTCAGGCAGTTGATAACAGTATCACCTAAGAGTGGGATGTAGCTCAGAATTGAATATAAGTAAGAGGCTGTATTACAATTCATGCAAGATAATGCTCAGTCCCCAGTGAGGACAGTGTGCAGATCTTGAGACTTCATAATGGCCTTGTACTTCTCCATGGGTTTCCCAATACTCTGGGCCACCTGCTGGAGAGACTTATCATCCACACCAAAGAACAAGTGATAGGCAATCAGACACTCCCCCAGATCATCTGCATTCTGGATGCCAAGGATGTCCTGGAAAGACTTTGAAGCTATTTGCCCCTGCAAAGAAGTCACTTTGTCATCAATGACCTTCTCACAGGTGTCAGACAGGTTCTTTAGGGTACGATGGTACCTGATATCAGAGACATCCCTGTGCAAGGTGTCCCTAAGCTCTGGGAAGTCATGCAATAAGGGGTCAAAGCTGGAGACCAGGAATATAATGGGTTCACACATTCCCTCCTTCTGGAGAGTTTCCCAAATATTCTTCCAGATAGTCTGCAGGAGTCGTTCCTCTGAGAGGACACGTGTACTGAGGTCTCTGTCCAGCTTGGTCCAGACAATGTAGAACCTCTTTCGCTGTCCCTGGATGGCTTTGGCAAGCTTCACAAGATTCATGCTGAACTGTTCCGATGCAATGATGATGAAGAGGTCATACTGGATAAACTGTATTTTCTCCAGATAGTTCTCTAGGTTTTCAGTGACAGCCCCTGTTCTGGGTAGGTCCCATAGCTCCATGTTGGGAAAATGAGAGGATGAGTAGCAAGAAGGAATCCGGGTGGTCCTTACCACCCCAGTGGGAACCAAGTCCTCCTCTTCATGTCCAATTCCTCTCAGTGCATTGATGAAGGAAGACATGCCATTGCCAGAGTCCCCAGTGACAGTAATTCTCACTGGAGCACTGGATGCGGTCTCCAGGGTCTCCCTGACCACAGAGACTACCCCCAGCAACTTCCCTTCTCCCAGTGCCTTTTCAATGCTTGTGGCAGTTGCCTTAGGTAAGACTGTCCATCCTGTATTGTGTTGCACAGTAGGGGTGAAGAATGTGGGCAATGGGGTGTGAAGGGACTGGTTGGGCTGTGTCATGTCTCTGATCAGTGGAGAGACCTGCAGAAATAGTAAGAGCAGGAGAGTTAGGAGGGTCAAGTGCACAGGGCAGCAGAGGATCATCAGATTTGTTATACCAAACTGAGGGTATCAGATCAACTCCGAACTCACTGCAAAGGGTATATAGATTAAAAACAGCAAACCTAATTATATAAGGCAATTAATAAAAAAGCAAAGAAACACATTGAAAACAATACAATAGTGGGGGACTTTAACACCCCCCCTGACTGAAATGGACAGATCATCTAAGCAAAAGATCAACAAGGAAATAAAGACTTTAAATGACACACTGGACCAAATGGACTTCACAGACATATTCAGAACATTCCATCCCAAAGCAACAGAATACACATTCTTCTCTAGTGCCCATGGAACATTCTCCAGAGTAGATCTTAGGTCACAAATCAGGTCTCAACCGGTACCAAAAGATTGGGATTATTCCCTGCATATTTTCAGACCACAATGCTTTGAAACTGAACTCAATCACAAGAGGAGTGTCAGAAAGAACTCAAATACATGGAGGCTAAAGAGCAACCTACTAAAGAAAGAATGGGTCAACCAGGAAATTAAAGAAGAATTAAAAAAATTCATGGAAACCAATGAAAATGAAAACACAACTGTTCAAAATCTTTCGGATACAGCAAAGGCAGTCCTAAAAGGAAAGTATATAGCAATACAAGCCCTTCTCAAGAAACAAGAAAGGTCTCAAATACACAATCTAACCCTACACCTAAAGGAGCTAGAGAACAAACAGCAAATAAAGCTTAAACCCAGCAGGAGAAGAGAAATAATCAAGATCAGAGCAGAAATCAATGAAATAGAAACCAAAAGAATAGTAGAACAGATCAACGAAACTAGGAGCTGGTTCTTTGAAAGAATTAACAAGATTGAGAAACCCCTGGCCAGACTTATCAAAAAGAAAAGAGAAATGACCCAAATCAACAAAATCATGAATGAAAGAGGAGAGATCCCAAGCAACACCAAAGAAATACAAACAATTATAAGAACATATTATGAGCAACTCTATGCCAGCAAATTAGATAATCTGGAAGAAATGGGGGCATTCCTAGAGATGTATCAACTACCAAAACTAAACCAGGAAGAAATAGAAAACCAGAACAGACCTATAACCACTAAGGAAATTGAAGCAGTCATCAAAAATCTCCCAAGAAACAAAAGCCCAGGGCCAGATGGCTTCCCAGGGGAATTCTACCAAACATTTCAAGAAGAATTAATACCTATTCTCCTGAAACTGTTCCAAAAAATAGAAATGGAAGGAAAACTTCCAAACTCGTTTTATGAGGCCACCATTACCTTGATCCCAAAACCAGTCAAACACCCCATCAAAAAAGAGAATTACAGACCAATATCCTTGATGAACATGGATGCAAAATTTCTCACCAAAATACTAGCCAATAGGATCCAACAGTACATTAAAAGGATTATTCACCATGACCAAGTGGGATTTATCCCTGGGCTGCAAGTTTGGTTCAACATCCGCAAATCAATCAACGTGATACAATACATTAACAAAAGAAAGAACAAGAATCATATGATCCTCTCAATAGATGCAGAAAAAGCATTTGACAAAGTACAGCATCCTTTCTTGGTCAAAACTCTTCAGAGTATAGGGATAGAGGGTACATACCTCAATATCATAAAAGCCATCTATGAAAAACCTACAGCGAATATCATTCTCAATGGGGAAAAGCTGAGAGCTTTTCCCCTAAGGTCAGGAACGTGGCAGGGATGTCCACTATCACCACTGCTATTCAACATAGTATTAGAAGTCCTAGCCATTTCAATCAGACAACAAGAAGAAATCAAAGGCATCCAAATTGGCAAAGAGGAAGTCAAACTCTCACTCTTTGCAGATGATATGATATTTTATGTGGAAAACCCAAAAGACTCCACACCAAAACTCCTAGAACTCATACAGGAATTCAGTCAAGTGGCAGGATATAAAATCAATGCACAGAAATCAGTGGCGTTCCTATACACCAACAACAAGCCAGAAGAGAGACAAATTAAGGAGTCGATCCCATTTACAATTGCACCCAAAACCATAAGATACCTAGGAATAAATTTCACCAAAGAGGCAAAGGATCTGTACTCAGAAAACTATAAAATACTCATGAAAGAAATTGAGGAAGACACAAAGAAATGGAAAAACGTTCCATGCTCATGGATTGGAAGAACAAACACTGTGAAGATGTCAATGCTACCTAGAGCAATCTACACATTCAATGCAATCTCCAACAAAATACCATCCACTTTTTTCAAAGAAATGGAACAAATAATCCTAAAATTTGTATGGAACCAGAAAAGACCCCGAATAGCCAGAGGAATGTTGAAAAAGAAAAGCAAAGCTGGCGGCATCACAATTCCGGACTTCCAGCTCTATTACAAAGCTGTCATCATCAAGACAGTATGGTACTGGCACAAAAACAGCCACATAGATCAATGGAACAGAATCGAGAGCCCAGAAATGGACCCTCAACTAATCTTTGACAAAGCAGGAAAGAATGTCCAATGGAAAAAAGACAGTCTCTTCAACAAATGATGTTGGGAAAATTGGACAGCCACATGCAGAAGAATGAAACTGGACCATTTCCTTACACCACACACAAAAATAGACTCCAAATGGTCAAAAGACCTAAACGTGAGACAAGAATCCATCAAAATCCTAAAGGAGAACACAGGCAGCAACCTCTTCGACCTCAGCCACAGCAACTTCTTCCTAGAAACATCGCCAAAGGCAAGGGAAGCAAGGGCAAAAATGAACTATTGGGACTTCATCAAGATAAAAAGCTTTTGCACAGCAAAAGAAACAGTCCACAAAACCAAAAGACAACTGACAGAATGGGAGAAAATATTTACAAATGACATATTAGATAAAGGGCTGCTATCCAAAATCTATAAAGAACTTATCAAACTCAACACCCCAAGAACAAATGATGCAATCACGAAATGGGCAGAAGACATGAACAGACATTTTTCCAAAGAAGACATCCAAATGGCCAACAGACACATGAAAAAGTGCTCAACATCGCTTGGCATCAGGGAAATCGAAATCAAAACCTCAGTGAGATACCACCTCACACCAGTCAGAATGGCTAAAATTAACAAGTCAGGAAAGGACAGATGTTGGTGGGGATGTGGAGAAAGGAGAACCCTCGTACACTGTTGGTGGAAATGCAAGTTGGTGCAACCACTCTGGACAACAGTGTGGAAGTTCCGCAAACAGTTGAAAATAGAGCTACTATATGATCCATCAATTGCACTACTGGGTATTTACCACAAAGATACAGATGTAGGGATCCGAAGGGGTACGTGCACCCCAATGTTTATAGCAACAATGTCCACAATAGCCAAAAGGTGGAAAGAGACAAGATGTCCATCGACAGATGAATGGATAAAGGAGAAGTGGTATATATACACAATGGAATATTATGCAGCCATCAAAAGGAATGAGATCTTGCCATTTGCAACGACATGGATGGAACTGGAGGGTGTTATGCTCAGTGAAATAAGTCAATCAGAGAAAGACATGTATCATATGACCTCACTGATACAAGGTATTCTTAATCTCAGGAAACAAACTGAGGTTTGCTGGAGTGGTGCGGGGGTGGGAGGGATGGGGTGGCTGGGTGATAGACATTGGGTATGTGCTATGTGCTATGGCGAGTGCTGTGAATTGTGCAAGACTGTTGAATCACAGATCTGTACCTCTGAAACAAATAATGCTATATATGTTAGAAAAAAAAAAGAAGAAGATAGCAGGAGGAGAAGAATGAAGGGGGGAAATCGGAGGGGGAGACGAATCATGAGAGATGATGGACTCTGCAAAACAAACTGAGGGTTCTAGAGGGGAGGGGGTGGGGGGATGGGTTAACCTGGTGATGGGTATTAAAGAGGGCACGTTCTGCAGGGAGCACTGGGTGTTATGCACAAACAATGAATCATGGAACACTACATCCAAAACTACTGATGTAATATATGGTGATTAACATAACAATAAAAAATAAAAAAAAAGAATATGGTTAGTAGAGCACCAAGCATTCTTTGGAAGTGTTGAATCACTAAGTTGTATGTGTGAAACTAATATTGTACTGTATGTTAACTAACTAGAATTTAAGTAAAAACTTAAAAAAAAAAGAATGTAGTCAGTAGAACATCAGATAACTCCCTTTTATGGAAATCTATTCATGCTTTTAATGCCCATCACTGTTTAGGTCATCTCTGTCCTTTTATTTGTGGACACTGGCTCTCATCAGTCACCATAGTGGATTGGCAGGATTTTATACCCTGTGTTTTATTTCCAAATCTAAATCTTGGTAATTGGTGCCTTGCAGGCATCTTGTTATCTGAGGATGTTCAGTTAGGCTTCTGAGTCCAGTCTTACATTCTCATCTGCATTCTGCATGTAACTGTGCCCTAGGCAGGATGTGTTAGCTCTGCTAGTAATAGAAGCTATCTTAACTGACCTTCACTTAACTACTTGCATGATTAATTAATGTTCTCCATTCCCTTTTTGACATTCCCTGACTGTTGTTAGGATAAGATGTTTATTACAGGCCGGTTGGCCACCTTCTGATTTACCCAGGTACTTCTGTTATCCATGGTGGCATGGTGCTTACTGAGAGACAGTTAAATTACTGCCCATTTTACTTCTTATTATGGTCATATAACTAAAATTTATATTAATTAACTAATGAAATATAAATGCAACAAGGAGGGCATTTATAAAGGTACTGTTTCTAGGAAAACTCTTTTAAAAGTTTTGGAAAAAAATCAAAATGTCAGCAAAGGTAATTTGCTAAAAAAAAATGCTGTAATGAATTAGGGTGAACACTGAGGGGGATAAGGTTGATGGTGTTTAAGGGTACAAACTTGTAACAAGTAGTAAATAAGCCATAGAGATCTAATGTACAATATTGAATATCAACAATATTGTTGAATTAATATCAACAATAATATTTATCAACATGAATATCAAC